AGAACCTCGAAAGCCCTAGTTAAACCCTACTTGGAGGGGCAGGGGACTTAGTAAGTAGGTTATAAGTAGAGATATAAGTAGCCTAAATGGAGTTACCCCAATTATAACCCTACTTTACGATCCCCAGATGAAAGCCTTCTGAGACCGTTCGACACGAAGAGCCCTGGTATGCTCTGAAATGCCCCTTGTAACCCAAAAGCCCAAACCCCACCCCCCAAAAGCCTTACGCTTCGGCTCTCATTATGGGGCTTCGGGGTTCTTTTGTTATGCAACTATGCAGGGAATACGATTTCTCACTTTTCAATTCTGCAACTTCATTTCCTCAACCCAGTCAGTTCCCTCTAGCTACAACCTCTCATGCCCCGGAATCGTGTCCGAGGCGCAGAAGTCAACGTCAGTAGGAATCACGCAAGGCTGCAAGGGCAAGCACCCCAGAAACCTGGGCGAAATGTCGGCTTACAGTTTTCGGGCTTTAGGTTAGCCCTGCTTGAATGAAGAGCTGCGGCTGTGGACTCTGTTTTCCCCCAAGGGCAAGATATACCAAGGGTAAAGATAAATTCGCCCGAAGAAGACTGAAGGTTCAAGTGCCCGAGCTGACTTATGCTAAGATCCTTTAGCATTGCAGGCTTTACGGGGTTCGGGGTTGCGTGTGATTTCCGTTTCGGGGATCGGAATAGCAAATTTAAAGGTCCTCGGCATGCCTAGTGTCGAGAGGTCTTGAGTTTACGGGCACAGGCATGAGGGCCACTTTGGCTCGCGGAGTGTGGGTTGAAGGCTTTTGTGGCTGTCGCTGCAGGTGCCAAACCAAGCCCTATTCGGTGTGCCTGAGAAAATTTTCAAGCAGCGCCACAGCCCTTCGATCCTGTGCAGCCTCGACCTTCAATCGAAATCCTAAACCCGGCCCTAAACCTAAAACCTAAACCCTGACTCAAGTCAGGGACCCCAAGCAGCAAAGCTAAAGCTCCAAGCATGTCGTCATGTCGTCACCCCGGAAACCATCCCTACACCACACAAGCCCCGATACCATCAACCCTTCCAGCCCAGTGCTACCTTCTCGTTTACAAGGAAGCGCTTGATGAAATGGCTCAAAAGTTCCTACTTGTAGGTAGAGCAACCCTAGATGCCCCCAAACCTGAAATAACCTACGCGAAGTATCCACCGAATGGAATCTTGCAAGATGTACCACCGAACGAAAATGCAACCTCCAAATCCGCAAAAAACCTAAACACCCCACTCACAGAACAGCAACTTAAACAAGTAAAAACAATAACAATCACAGTCATAATAACAGTCCACAACAACAAAAACAATAACAACACTAATAATAGCAATAACAAGTGAACTACGACTAAATTTATCGTATAATAATAAAATAACAATAACAATAATAATAATAATAATAATAATAATAATAATAATAATAATAATAACAATAATAATAACAATAACAATAATAATAAGAATAATAATAATAATAATAATAATAATAATAATAATAATAATAATAATAATAATAATAATAGGAACAGGAACAATAAAAACAAAGTGACGATCACTATGATCACGATAACCATCACGATGATGATACTGACAATGGCAATGAGACTGGCAGTGATAACGGTAATGTTGATGCTAATGACAACGATCATGATAATGCTGATACTAATAGTAGTGTAATAACTATTAGTATTATTGTTTGGTAATAACCATAATAATACGTACTTAATGGTGGTTGTAATCGTAGGATTATCCAAAAAAAGAACAACTATTGAAACAACAAGACTGACAGTGATCACAATACAAACCCCTGAGCCTTAGCCAAGCCTCGCTTGAGAAGCTGAGGATCGCACTCAGGTTCTTCGAGGCACTCATCTGGCCGCTCGCAGCCTCGGAGCCCAAGCCCCAACAATCCAGTAAATCACCGAGTTTAGGGCTTAGGGTTTAGATTTTTTGTTGGTAAGGGCCTGTCTCCGACTGCACAGGAGTCTATGCTAGCTGCTAGCCCTCTCGGATGGGAAGGCTTTTCTGTTTTGAAGTGGCTCGTCCGCATTGTTTTGAAGTGGCTCGTCCGCAACCGTACAGATGGCCCCCTCTCACACCCTTCGACGGCCAGCTCAAACATTCCGAACTTGGCGTGGCAAACATCTTCAGTGCGTCGACTTCGTTTGCGAGAAATTCCACCCTCTCCTAACTTCAGCTGTTGCTGGTGCGCTCTCTTCTGCGACGGAAAATGCTTTAGGTGACGGAAGGTTGGTGCTCAGGATCCATTTCCAGGATCTCGCGGTTTAGCTTTGAGGCTCGCGGAAAGTTTGGGTTAGGTTTTCGGGTTTAGGGTTTGTTTTCAAGCTAGGCGCTTTATTCAAGGGACAGGACAGGGAGACAGGCAAACAGAATTGGAAAGTCTAGTGAGGATACTTGCGGAAGAACTGTTGCAGTGGCCAAGAATGCTGATACCCTACTCAGGCCTACTGCTTGAATGTGCTTGCGGCACACTTTGCATAAAATGTACCCTAAACTTTTAAGCCCCCAAAACCCGCAACCCTAAACCATGTATCCGTAACCTGACGTCGGAGTATGGGTGTAGGAGGTGTCTAATATAAGGGCCTTAATAATGCGTTCTGGGAGTACATTATCATACTATAGTTCTAATAAGGAACCCCCCCAAATAGTATAGGTGATTATTTGAGCCACTACATTATGGGTTTAAAGAGGTGTCTAAGGGCGGCACGCTTCTCTGCAGTTCCTGCATATCCCGGGCCGCAAACCTCCAGTCGAAGACTTAGAGGCTAGTGGATTTAGGGTTTAGGGTTGTTGTTGCTCTTTTTTTGGTTAACCAGTTATATGGTTAGGATCCTATACTAAAGATTTTGGTTAACCAAAAAAAGGAACTACAATGGAGACCGTACGTAGGGTTTAGGGTTTAGGGCTGCTTAGGGTTAGGCTGAGTTACACGTATGGATTTTGATGTGTGCTGTGTAGGTGCTTATAAGGATTTGACTAAGTGACAGTCTCGGGAAGCAGTTCTTGAAACCTGAAGGCCCTTAGCATGCCTAAGCCTATCTACTTCGTCCATATCTAAACCCTAACTTACTAAACCCAAACCCCTAAACCCCAAAGCCGAAATCCTCGAGTCCTCAGCTCGCCTCAAAAGCAGAGCAGGTCGCTTTGCAACAACACTTGGTCTCCACTTTCAGCTCTTCTATAACATCTTGCATTCGGGATTCTTGAAGATTCAAGGCCCCTCTAATATCCCGCTGCAAGCTGTCGCCTGACGCCTCTCGTCCAGAAAAAGTATTAGAATTGTGAAGGGTGTTGCGGCATTTCAAAAACATGAGGAACCAGTCAAAACCTCCGAGACGCGCGAAAGACATGTAAAGCTGGATAGAGAAGCACCACTCAAGCCTCTCACTCTGCGGTAAGAGCCTCTCTTCGCTCTTGCCGCAACGGCAAAATAACCAATACCTCCCCGACATCCTCACCCCCCTCTGCCCAATCGCAAAATGCAAAACACCTTGCCCGAAAGCATCCAGAACTCCAAACCCCAGAAGCCTAAAACCCGAAAAACCATGCAGAAACCCCCAATTCCAAAAGAACCGCTCATAAATCCTGCTTCTACCCACCCAGAGACTCCAATATCCCTTAGTTAGGGAATATATATTTTACATCATATTCGGGATCCTACTATGATTTAATTTGAGCAAAGCCCTTAATGAGGCGCAGGCCCATTGCCCTTGTTCATCTTTGACGTAGCCGGCCGGAACGAACTGTATGGCAGGATCTGGACCTGTGAACTTTCCCTAGACCCCAAACCCCTGAGAGTTGATATAGGGGCCTTAATATTTAGAAGAGGGCCTTTGGGCCCATTATACTATAATCATAATAAGCCACCCCCAAAATAGTATAGGTATATAATTATGAACACTCCTATATTACGAACTTTTCCAGGTCTTTGGAGTTCAGAGGTGTGGTCTGGGGACTTGCCTTGCTTCGTCTTTTGGGCCTTGGTTGCTTTGCTAGTGTTTTGGGCAACAGTGGCTCGGATGATGCTGCAAGGACCTACCTAAACCCTAAACCCCAAGCCCTTCGGATGACAAGTTGGTGCCTCGAAGCTTGTTGACTTTAGCAAAGCCAGCTTTGAGTTGAAACCAACTCTCGAGCCCTAAACCCTAAACCACGGATGCCCAACACGAAATCCAACACTTCTGGAAACAGTAGGCCTGAAGAGCTCGACGGTTCAGAAATCCAAAAAAACATAATATAGGGGCCTTAATAATTACCTATACTGTTTTGGGGGCTTGCTCATGAAAATCATAGTATCTTGGGCCACAATACCCTATTCTAATTATTACGGCCCAAATATTCATTATTTCAGAGTTCTGAATGACGGGGTTCTTGCTTCGATTAAACCCCGATCCCCTCTGCCCCGTAGCTCGGGATGCCACAGCCGCAGTCCAGAAAACTCCCACTTCGGATCACCACCTCCTTCCGCGCGGGCTTGGTGTCGGGTTGAGGGCCTGGCGGTAGGGCTTAGGGATGGGTCTAGGTGAACGCTAAAAGCAAGAAAAGGAACCAGCACCAAGCCCTGCAATTCGTACAAGGTTATATCTGGCGTGATGTTGTAAAACTTCTCGTCGTTGGCATCCTTACAATCATGATGGTCATGGTGGCGGTGATGGCGAGGCGATGGCGGTGCCGATGATGATGTGGGCCTTGACGAGAAAGCCCCGGGGCCCCGACTCTAATTCAGAATAACCAGGAGGGCCTCGGACTAGGGGGTTTAGGGTTTAGGTACAGGTCCTTGCCAGACGTTGTTGCTCAGGGGCTGAACACGATCCAGGAATTAGTGGCTCAATATCAATTTGATTGGGAGTTCAAAGCTAAAGCTGCATTTGGCGAAGAGCATCCCTCCACTAGGAGACGGCTTCTGGCATCGAATGTCTTTTCAGCAGTGAAATGCCACAATGCAAGGGTGAAGCTACTGAGGATTAGGGCATTTTTAGTCAGGCTCCCACAAGCCATCCTCGTGTGGCAAGTTCCTTCCACTGGCTCCAGCACATGCAGCAACGCTGAATCGCATCCTGTATTTGCCAACATGAAAGCTGCCTTTTCCTGCTGTCCGCTTCCAGCAAGCGCACCACCTCACCGTGGCCACCCCAGGATGCCAACAGAAGGGCCGATATTCCTGTGTCATCCACCAGACACGGGTCTGCACCGGCCTTCAAAAGCAGGTGTACCACCCCAGCATGGCCCGCAGAAGATGCGAGCATGAGGGCCGTGTTCCTACCCATGTTATTCCTCAAGTTCTTGGCTACACCAGCTTCCAGTAGCAAACCCACCGCTGCAGTGTGGCCTGATTGAGATGCTGACATCAGCGCTGATTGCCCGAAGACGTCCTGCAAGTCCTTGGCATGATCGTGTTCCAATAGCAATCGGAGCACCTCGGCGTGACCTGAGAGAGCTGCCAACATGAGGGCCGTGTGGCCGTGCCTGCCCCTCAACGTCGAGTCTGCGGCCGATTGCATCAGCAAACGCACTACTCCAGCATGGCCTGCGGCAGAGGCCAACATGAGAGCCGTGTGACCGTGCCTTTTCGGGGACATCAAATCCTTGGCCGCTCCAGCTTCCAGCAGCAAGCGCACCACCTCTTCATGGCCGTTGCCAGATGCTAACATGAGAGCTGTTTGGCCATCAGTTTCAACGGTGAAGTTCGCATCCAAGCCGGCGTCCAACAGCAAGCGCACAGCCTCGTCATGACCATTCGCAGCCGCATCTTGCAGCTCATGTCCAACTGATTCGACACATGACAAGTGCAGGATCAACTGAACCTCCATGCCTTCTCCTATCTCCTCCGTATCATCCAATTTTCGACCTTCATGAACGAGCTGTTGGAGGCACCTGGGAACACCAGTCTCCACACGAAGATGCTTCTTCAAGGACTCAACATCGGTCAGCTCCCCGTCGGGTATTCTGGCCAGGTCTTTCCCAGAAACCCAGCGAACCCGAACCATCTCGGATGAAGCGTCTGCAGGAGCACGGTGCCTTCTGTGCCGCAGCTTTAACGATGTGCATGTGCGCACTACTCTAAGTACTGTTATTAATATTATTCTTGCAACTAGTCTTATTTGTATTTCAGTGCTATTATCAGTATTAGTAACTTCATTGTAATCATTACGAGTACAGCCTTGCTACTGCCAATGCTGCCGGTACTACTCCATCATCAGGCGTGACGTGTCTGGGACAAGCCGGTCGATGACGAGTTTTTGCTGAGGTTAGTGGTTGATATCGCGGGAGCTATCTCTACCGTCGGTCGACTTAACAGCAGCTGCGTCAAGTCGGTGTGGGGTCTGATTCTCTTGGGATTTTAGGGTTCTGAGGGGTTTGGGGCTTAGGACTGTCCAGGCCTGAAGCCCCAAGACTCGAAAACCCCCAATCCCAAATGTCGCCGCAGCGAAAAGCAAGTTGGTTTATCGTTACGAAACAAAAAGTAAGCGACCACAAGGTACATAGGAATTTAATGCAAGCAAGAGTCGGCAGCCGTCATGCATCTACACATAAAAAACAAAATGCAATGCATAGTGTGTGTTTGTCCTTGTTTCGATCATTTACATAATGAAGATCCTGAACAAGAGCCTGGGAAATTCGACAAACCTTGCGCCCCTGAAACCTACACCCTAACCCTTGCTTTTTGGTCTTTGGGCGCTGAGGAAATTTCTTGCCGTTGGGTTCCTAGAACCAAGGGCTTCTCTGGCGCTCAGGGTTTCGGGATTCGGGGTTGGGTGGGGTTTAGGGCATTTAGGATTATGGGCTTGCGGCTTTGCTCCTGCATCGGGTCCGTGTTGCTGTCTGGGCAAGTGGCGAACACCTAAGCGGATGGTTGACATCTCTTCCCGGAGAGGAATCATCCAGCGGTGTCGGCTTTGGGGTGCAGGGTTCAGGGCGTAGGGTTTAGGGCTTTAATTGTCGTCCTGCTGGCTTGATGGACTGTTCTTGTCGGTACTGACACATCTATGTCTGACGATGTTGTTGTCATTCTGCGCCATCTAGCCGCGAACCACAGGCTACAATCAGCCTGACCTATATTATAGGGGCCTTCATAATTAGAATAGGGTTTCGGGCCCATTCTATTATAAGGACCCCCCCCCCAAAAAAAAAAAACAGCTTTGGTAATTATTTCGGCCACTATAGTATTGCGGCGAGCTTCTTCAATTCACCTCTCCTTCGCAAGAGGTGTATCGATGCAAGTCTGGTCCTCTGGCGCTGAAGATGTAGAGTCGAGAGATCTGCAAATCCCGACGTGACAAAAGCCTCAACCCCGAGTCCTGCTCAAACCTGAGCCCTGAATCATCCTAGACCCTAAGATCACGACTTCCTCAGTTTCGGGTTTACCTTAACACCGAAAACCTACCCTTTCAGGGTTCCTGATTATGATTTCTGTATATGGGCCCTTAAAGAAGTAGGATATTCAGGGTTAGGGAGAGTTCGTCCGTTGACACAGAAGAGACGGAGCTTTTCGAGAAAAGGCACAGCTATCACTGAGCCCGAAATCTACAAGTCCGTGTTGTCTTAAGCCCGGAGTGCTAAGCCTTTGCTGAGCCTTCGCAGGAATACCTTGCAAAAGGGGTCCTAAGGTCCTGGGATTATGATTATGCTTCGAACTATGCTGTTGGTCATAGTTATGATTAGATTAACAAGTAGTAGCGTTGTTGTCATCGTGCAGTACTGCGCCAAAATCGGCTGTATTTTTTCCATCTTCTGCTTGCAAATTCACAGAAGTTCCAAGTCTCGCACCCCGGCTCCGGTGAACGGACGCCGGCACACCAGCAGGCATTCCCCACCTGCAAAAGTTCCACGTGCAGAAAGAATCGGACCTGTAATAAGTCCTGACAAAGAGCGACCCAGCAGTGATTTTGGTTTAGGGTTCGAGGGATTTAACGAGGATTAAGGGGGGCTGACCGGCTTTACCAATTCATCAACTCCCTCCGTGCGCAGGGCTTCAGGTTTGGGGAAAATGAGGGTTTAGCTGCCTTCCGGACGACGATCCGAAAGACTAAACCCGAAATCACGAGCGTCCTGCATGACAGAGCCAAGGCAACTACCCTAAACCGTAACCCCTAAGCTCTAAACCCTTAACCCTAGACCCCTGTAATCCATCTCGGCAGAACCACTCGGAACACCAAATGCCCGAGTCTCTGCGCTCTACGCGTCCGTGTTTTTTTTCAATCCAATTGTTACTGAGCGGGGTGCAGTATCGAAAGCCTTAACCACATGGCCCGACCTGGCTCTACAGAGCCGCAGGACGATGTGTCGTACCTTGGCGTACTAGAATGCAGGGCAGGTGAGAAGGGGTTGGGGTAGCATCGTATAATTTGAAATACAAGGAACTGTTGAGGAATGCAAGTCCTGCCGAGAACGTACCGCAAGCAAAGTGAATTCAAAGAGTGAAGGAATCGTATCAGTCATTGTTCAGGCCTTTATAGATTCGCTTTGTTGAGCCGGTTTGGAGTTTGAAGACGCCGTTTGCGTTTGTTGCGACACGCTGGCCCTGGGCTTGAAACATCGAGGGGTTACCAAAACATCGAAACCATAAACCCGAAACCTGAACTATATCCCTAACCCCCCCAAACCGAAGTCGAGACCCAACATTACAAAACCTTTTCTAGACCACCAACACCCCGCAACCCCAAGCCTGAACTCCAAAGTCAACTTGCTGTCAGGTCCTTGTCAAAGAGCCTCCCACTTAAGTAACCACTTGCAGTAACTAGTATACCGTTGTGACCATGGCGACCCGGCTGAATGGTGTTGGAAGGGGTTTGGAGTCCCGGATTCGGGATCCGCAGCCTGAAAACCATGCACATCGTGCGAATTACACGGAAACCTACCCTAAACCCTAAACCCTAAAACCCTAAACCCTAAAACCCTAAACCATAAAGCCCCGTTACACTGGACCGTACTCTGACATGGACCCGTGTCAGACTCCGTGTGGGTTTCAAAGAGGACTGTGTTGTTGAGGGCTTTGGGTTTTGCTCGGGGGAAGTCAGTGAAGAAACTTGCACCACCCATCTGAGAGCTTCCGAAAATTCGGGGGTGCCATATGTTGGGGTCCTTAGAATAAGGATCCTACTATTTAGGGTACTAGGTTAGGGTCCCTTAATTTTCGGGGACCCCCATCTGCGGTCCTGCGACCCTCAGCCCTACCAGGACACCCCCCCAAGACTCCCTGGAAGATCTCACACTTCTCACTAGCAGGCTGGGGTTACTTCTTGGTTTAGAGGGAGATAGCCGGAGTGTCTAGGTTTTGCCCTAAACTCCTCAACCTTGCAAGCCTAAGCCTGTGGGACTGCAATCGAGAAGCTTGCACCCTTCCAACGAAGCAGGCGGGACCTAAGTCAAGGTGGCTGTGGAGGTTTTGCCTCTAATTGACCCGTCCGCAAAAAGGGACTGAACCAGGTTTGGTGCTCAGAGGGGTTGAGGCTTGCCTTTCGGGAACTTTCTTGAGGAGTGAGCACCAATCCCGAACCTCTGCTCTCTACACTACAAGTATTCCGCCCCAGAACCAAAGGCACGTTCGATGAAACTGGAGCCAGGGTTGTCAGAGCTTTTGCATTCGGGTAGCTACCTCTGACGCCCCCCCTCCCAGACCGTAAATTAGTAAACCAGCTCCAGTGAAGTTGCGTAACGTTCGGGATCCATCGGGGTTTCGAATCCTAGGGGCATGGTCGCCGTCTTGCCAGGTGAGCTGACACATGCGCTGAGATGAGTTTCCAACTCAATAATGGCGCAGACCCCTGAACCCCTGAACTCTACAATTAAACACCCTACTCTCCTAGCCCTAAACTCTCTAAACACCCTATACTTAATACTCTTAGTCTTAATCCTAAGCTCTCGGCAGGGCAGGGTGAATTTAGGCTCCAATCCAAGTTACCCTGGAGGCTCCCCGAGCCCTCAATCCTACAACCCTCCACGAGGAGAGAACAGCTGGAGAACTAAAGCCAAAGCCCAACTCACCAAGGAATCATTCTAAGGGTTTCGGGGGGTTTGGGCTTAAGGGTTTAGTGGTCTTAGGGTTCGGGGTTTCGTTTAGGGTTTTGCGTTTTGGCGTTCCGGATTTAGTCTAGGAGCTTATGGTCGCCGGGTTCAGGGGGTTCAGTAAGTTTAAGCCGCCTTCTTTACCTACAGCCCACGCCTGACCCGGGGCGAGAGCACAAGGCACTTTCGGCAGGCAGCCCGTCGGATGAATTTGATGACCGCACCCTGGCCAGAAGAGCTCGAAGAGACTCCAATGTCCCTTCTCATATTGGGGATCCTACTTTAATTTAAGGCACGGTTTAGGGTTTAGGGTTTAGGGTTCAGGGTTTAGGGATTCCTTAATTAAGGGATATTGGAGTCTGTGGGCTGCGCACTTTGGTCTCATGTAGGCGACTAGGAGGTTCATGGGTAGTTAAAAGGTAGGGTTAGAAGGGGTTTAGGTTTAGGGTTCCTTTAAGGGTTCTATGGAGTTTGGGGGTTTAGGGTAGATTTAAAGTAGGGTTATAAGACTATACTCATAACCCAGGACTTTTAACCCCACTTATAACTACCCCTGAACACTCGAGGTGAGACCTCAATGTTCCCTCTTTGGTCCAAAGAGCCTGCAGCCCGGAGCCTTCGAAAAAGCCTCGAGCCTGGGCCCTAACGCTCTGTAGATTCCGAATAAGCCCCAAACCCGAAACCCCTAAACCCGAAACCCCTAAACCCGAAACCCCTAAACCCGAAACTCTAAACCCGAAACCCTAAACCCTAAACCCTAACCCAATCCGAGACAAGAATCATCAATCAGTGAACTTTGAGAAAGGAACCTACACCCCCAACTTAGATCAGCCTAGACACCCTTAAACAAAGCATCGCACTCCATGCTGTGAAGGCCGCGACACCCCTGCAGAACAACCTCTAAACCCCTAAATTCATCAGACCCCCTAAGCCCTGAAACCCATTCATAAACTCAAACACCCCTTAACCCTGAAACTCCAAC